TTTTGGCATGTAATGAATAAAAAAAATAGTTTGTATATATTTCTAAATTTATAGAACTCGTTACACTAAACACCTCTATGCTTGCCAAATACTCACATGATATTATTTTTTTCATATTGTTCAAACAGTTAAGTAGTTTTTTTGTAATATAACAAACAACAATTAAACCAGATGCATTCAAAAATGGGACTTCTCAAAGAAATGATTACCTATAATAAATAAAACACGTCATACTCTTTGCGTACATTTTGAGAGAAAGACATATAAATATTTAAAAACATGTTTATTTTTCTTTTGTGAATCATTTGTTTTACTGATTAGATGTCAAACACTTCAATGTTGTCATCTGGATATCTACTAATACACATCTTCGTCATTTGTTGATTACAACAGACTGATGTAATATCCCATTTTTCACTATCAGCTTTTATAACCTCTCCTATCAGCTCACCATCACGTGTCAACTGTAAAACATTTTTGGAGTCAAATCCAGATACCAGCACACTACCTGTTTCAGTGAGATAACAACATGTAGCCTTTTTTAATTGCCTATCACTAAATGATGTAATAACCTGACCATTGTTGTCCAGCACTATCAGTCCATTATAGTAGTCAGCAACATAAATCCTAGTAGCATCCTTATTGACAGCTAAACTGCATATGTTACGTAACAATTTTTGTCCTGTTTGATCCTTACTGAACTGTTTAAGTTTTCTACCAGACAATGTATACATATATACTGATGTGACACCATCTGAGAAATATAAATTATTGTTCACATATGCAAGACCAAAACATTTAAAATCAGTGTTAATCTTGTTTGTTGTTTTCATATTTCTTTCTAGAGAAATGAAATGAACTTCCTGTTTTGATGGAATAGTTACTGCTACTTGTGTGTTATTGATCATACACACTTCCCATGGACCTCCAGGTAGATCACAGAAATCTGTGACTGTATAGTTGTAACGGTGTAACCTTTTAAGCTTCTTGTTGTTGTAATCAGTTAGAATTATTGTACCATCTTCCATACAGCAGGCACTGCGGATATTACAATCATCTTTATCCGACTTAACTTTTACATTATATGATTGATTTCCTTTCATCTGAAATAAACTGTCAGCAGTCTTTGCAGGTTTCTCTGATAGTGTGCCTATGGTCTTCTTTTGTTCTAACTGTGTAAGAATTGTTCTGTCAGGTTGAAACTCTATGTCTTCTATTGTACTTTTTTTTTTTTTGGCATGCTCCATATATTTGTTGGCAACATTTGCAGCATCTTCTCCCATCTTCACATTAACAAACACTTCAGAATGACTTGTGTTTGTAGATGTTAACTTATCATTAGCTGATCTAATCCTGGACTTATATGCTTGTAGCTGTTTTAAACTGTTTTCAATTTTGTCTTCAAGACAGTTGACTTTACTTTCTATCTCATCAATAGAACTTTCCTCCAGCTTGTCAAGTTGGTCATTGATTTCTTGTCTAAATTTTCTGATATCAGCCAGTATTTCTGCTTTCCTCTTTAACAGCTTTTGTTTATCCTGTTTAAATCTATCAGCTTGTTTTTCAAGGGTCTTGGTTATTTCCTTAAGTTTTGTTTGAATGTCTCTCGATTCAACTTGGTAAGTATTGTTTTGGATAAATTCTGGTATGTAGAATGTATCCTTACATAATCTGAAAAATAAGGCTAAACAGTTTAAGAGGCTATGAGATGACGTGGGAGTTGATATTATTTAGTGTTATATATTTAAGATAGTCTAAGAATATTACGTAAAGTACCTACTAAACATTCCATATACTTATTTAAAAAATATCTTTGTTTAAATACTATAGTTTACCTGTGATCAACTGCCATACATGTAGAACAGCCAACATTATCATGGTTCTTACAGTACATATCAATGTGTTTATGACTGTGTCTGTCACATCTCTCTGCTGGTGCCCTCGGTATAGCTTTACTGGTTCCTGACTTAACTTGAGATTTATCCAATACCTTGTGACCAGCTAATACAGGCACTTTACTGTGAACTTTGACACAACTAACACAGAAATAATCGTGACAATCTACACAGTATTTTTCACCTTCAGTGTTCCTGCCTTCATTTCTACACATTGAACATAATACATCAAATATTTCATCCGAGAGAATATCCGTATCAATTTGTTGACCTGTAGCCATTTTGTCTTTTTCCCCCGACTACCTTTGTTAGTTGATCTATTTACATTGTAAAATCGATAAAATTGTCTCTGTTTCTTTCACACTTATTTTAAATCTAAACATTGATGTACGCTATAACTAAGATAACTGAAAGCCTTAAAAATCTCCTACATTGTACTCCTAGAAAAATATCAATTTCTACATTATATTTTTTTTTTCATTGATATAAATCCTCTCCTGTTTCGAAATAATGTATAAATGATTTGTCCTACTTTGGGTTTAACTTAACAAAAGTTCCCTTATACCTCTTTGCACACAGTGTAACTTTATCTGGTGAAACATTATCTAAAGTTTATCCAAGTTCAATACTAAATTGTTTAACTTTATATAGGTATATAAAGAGTTTATATAGGGCTGGTTTAACATTATGCTATTGAAATCAATATACCATATAAGAAAATATTTTACTGAAAAAATATAACTTACTTTATTTCCACTCACAAAGCAAGAGGTGTACATATACAAGGTATATATAAAGCCCCCTTTGTTGTTTTTGATTTAGGACAATTTAAAAATGACCCCTGTGCAAATATCCAAATTATTATTTTTTTTTTTTTGGTCCATGGTTGTCCAAAATTGAAAAGTCCTATTAAACCCTCATTTATCCAATAGGAAGACCTTATACAGGATAAGAGAGTACAAAAAATCACCTCTTTAAATTCAGATTTATATATATTGATTTCAAAAAATCCAGTAGAAGTGAGCCTCAATTATTGCTCATAAGCTTTCAAACTGGAATTCTCTAATTTTGTTTTCAAAATTTAATGCCAAAGTCCTATATTGGAAAACTTTGAAGGGCCCACCAAATTTTCAAATTCAAAAAACCAAAATTTACCATAAAAAAAACGGGACGACGGGGACATACATACCATACATAATCCATATACAAAAACAAATACATAAAATACATAAAATAAAAAAATTCAATCATACCAAAAATTTACCCCATGTCATGCCTGCCTGCCATATCATCCCCCATACCATACTTAAATTTAACTTTTTTAATTTAAATTTTGGAAAAAAAACACAGTCCAAGAATTTTACAAATCACAAAAATGACCACGAAATTGTGTGAATTCACAGTAATGTATGTAGGTATATATTTTAAATATTTAGGACATTGTTATATTGTTTTATTCCAGCAATATGATGCTGGACATGTATGGGTTGGTGTGATTTGTGTCCTAGCCGTAGTATTGTACATCATCTTCTTTGCGTCTGGCCCAGGTAGGTCACTTAATAACATTTATAGAAACAATAATTAGAAAATTTTAGATCTCACATCATAAAAAAAGTATAATGAACATTAAAGCTGGAAAGTCACCATATGACTTCTACTGCGTCGGTACAACGTGAAATCCAGTCAAAAAAATTAATGCTACCAACAGTCAAGAGACTGGTGAGACTGACCTGCATTTATATTGGTGGCAAAGACTCATCATTTTTGGTAACGCAGGATTTTATGTAATGTGTTGTAAGCTGTATTGCGCAGGTCAAACTTAAAATCTATGAAAGCATTAAAATGTAAGGAAATTGTATTGTAATTTTTTTATAGCAATGCTAAAATGTCAAATTTTTTTTTGTTATAAAAATTAAACACAAATTGGACTGAGCAATCTAGTAGGAAAGCAGGTTAAGTGGACTTACACTGGAGATATTTCAAAAAAAAAGTGTTAAAGTAGGCATTAAACCTGACAAAGTAAGTGAATGGATTATTAAATTTTGATATATATATATATACTTCAGGGGCTATACCATGGTTTTTCACAGCTGAGTTATTTGCTCAAGGACCTAGACCTGCTGCAGTCAGTATAGGGGTACTGTTTAACTGGTCAGCTAATTTCTGTGTTGGTCTGTTTTACCCATTTTTACAGATAAGATAAAATCAATTTATTTTTCTGTAACATAGACCAAGTAAAATTGAAGGCTTGGAGAAAAATTAATCCATGTTTTTATAAAGTACAGATGCCGAAGTTATGACTCTTGCCACTTAATTAAGATGTGCATATGGTTAAGGAACATGGATTTGAAATTTCAAGTGACTTCATTAAGGATTTATGTTGGAAAATGTTACAACACAATGACAATAATCCAAAATCTGGACATTGGAGTGTTTAAGGTATCTCCTTTTGCATTTTATGTTCACATGTACAGTTGAATTTTATGATACTATCATTAATTTTATAAAGAACTTGGCAGAATTAATTTATTTGAACTTGAATGTTTTAAAGTTCAAACTTAAACTATTATTGAATTTACTGTCTGTGTCCCTGCACAGACTAGTTGGTTCTCTTGTTATACAACTCCGATATGAAAACCCCTTATTAAAAGTTCAAATTCAAAACAAGAGAAAAATAAAAAAAATGCTAATTCAGATGTGTTTCATTGATGTATAGATTATTGATAAACAATCACTTGGTGATTCTTCCCATAGTGTCACCTTAGTGAAAAAAAACTCAATATATACATTTGTATGAAAATTTTCTGGAAAGCAAAAAAAAAATAAAAAAAATAAGGAAAGGTTTTGTATTCTACCATTTAACTGAAATAGCATGTAAGATTTCTTCATTTTCAGTCAAGAAATCATTGTGATACATTTTTGCACTATATTTCCTTCTTGCAAGAACTTTATGGGTGCATTTATCATGATATTGCATTCAAAGTGACAATAATATCATTAAACTTCTAACAATGCACTATAATAGCATATTTACATTACTATTTAAGTATATTGCAGAAACTCATATAATATTACTTTTTTCCTTATTTTGTCTTTATTTTTCAGGAATCTATAAAAGCATACTCATTCATACCATTTGTTGTATTTCTGGCGATTTTCTGGATATTTACACTGTTTGAGGTACCGGAAACTAAAGGAAGAACCATTGAAGAGATTACCGCTCAGTTTCAAATAACTGTACCATATAATCGTATACCATTAACCGAGGATACAGATTAGGATATGTTGAATCTTTACTGTAAAATTGTATACCAGGATACAGATTAGAATGCATTGAATTTTTACAGAGAAATGGTATACCTTTTACTAAGGTTACAGATTAGAATATATTAAATCACAAGATGATATTTGAGCCGCGTAACAACAGAACCAACATAGTGGGTTTGCGACCAGCATGGATCCAGACCAGCCTGCGCATCTGTGCAGTCTGATCAGGATCCATGCTGTTTGCGATCAGTTTCTCTACTTGTTATACGGTTTGTAAGAGAACAGCATGAATCCTGATCAGACTGCGCGGATGCGCAGGCTGGTCTTGATCCATGCTGGTCGCGAACCCATTATGTTGGTTTTGTCATGACGTGGCTCAATTTATGTTTTAAGATAAGAGAAAGGACATTTGCTATGCGGCTGTATTTGTCTTGGGTTTGACTATGAATTTACATCATATTGTCATAAAATGTGGCATATTCCATGAAATATTCTTTAAATCATGCTGAATACCTTAAATCGACTTGTCCATCTTTCTGTCTGCCAGGTCAAAACCATTCATCATTTTTGGGGAAAATTTCAAAATGCATATACAACATAATAAAATAGTCCCTATGCACTGACTGAACAGTGCAGTAAATGATCAGATGGCATGGATTTCTGGGCATTTCTTGGTCTGCACTGCACTAGCATGGGTAGAATCATAATGAAATGATAACTTAAAATATGTTTTTGCAGTCATTTAACTTCCACAAACAAATTTTAGGGAGTATAGGTTTTGAGGGTGATAGTAATGATTAAGTAACATGACTCAAGCTATTTAGGCCAGTAATTTATGGTGGAAAAAATAAAATGAGTTCCACTGAGGTCCAAAAGCCTAAGAACATAATTTTTGAAAAGTTTACTTAGATCAATTGGGGCAAATAATATGGTGAAATCATGAAAAAGATAATTAAGAAATGTAATCGGAATTTAATTGAACATTAAATTTTTATGTGATTCTTGTCCTGATTTGACACAAAAGTAATAACACATTTAGTTTTTGTGGTCATTTTGCACAATATATATATATATAATGATTCTGGGCATTTCCATATAAGTTATTGGTCCAGTCCTTAAAAAAATGGTAGGCAAATAGGAAAAATATTTCCAGTCCTGTATTGTCAAAAACCTCAGCGGTGTCCCTTTCATATTTCAGGCAGATAAATTTCTGTAATATAAATCTCAGTCATTTATATTTTCTATTTGTAAGTTTTTTTTAAGATTAATATTTTAATCTTAATATTGTGTCATGACTTTTATATTAGTGTTTAACTTATATGTTTATTATGTTTATGTCATGGTTTGATAAAGATCATGCAATATTTTTGAGTTTGAACTACAAAATGTATGATGTGACAGGTTGAATTATAGTCCAACCTCCGCAGAGCAGCTCCCTTTTCTGAGCAATAACCTCTTTATAACAACAGTGTTAATTCCTCCAAAAGTAAGACTTTTCAATAAAATTCAATAGCCTTTCTATATCAAAACCTTTCAACAACAACCAAAACCTGTGTCTCTCAAAGGGTGTCACTCTGCCGAAGTTGTACTATACATGTTTAATTTCATTGGAATTTTATGCTCTTAAATTGTTTTTAAGATCTGAACTTACAGTAAACTTTGTTTATAACGCTATTCAGGGGACCAGTCTGTCAATTTCTATCTGCCTCTTACGGCAAATCGCCATTATCAAAAACACAAACAAGTATTAAATAGCGTGTATGTTGTGAATAAGCAAAAATATCAACACCTGAATCCCAAGCTAGGGGCCTCCGATCTTATATTATTATATTTGAACATCGTTATATCCCAGAGGCAACCAATTTGAAAACGAGTTGGGACTCCTGCAACAGCATTATTATAAATGGTATATCGTTGCATGCAATATTGTTATAAGTGAAGTTTACTGTTTTATACATTTTTTCCCAAAAAAAAGACAAATGGGGTTTTTGAAAACTTCTAAATTGTGGAAAAAAAAGTTTCCCTGGGGAAATTTAAAATTTCATAATACATTTAGAAAATACTATTAGGGGTTGCTTTCTAAAATCTAAATACAAAGAACAAAGCCAAAAAAAGTTTTTAAAAAGGGGGGACATTTAAAATTTTTTTTCATGTAAAAAATTTGGGTTCCCCGCTACATAAATATAGGTCATAGAGATCTACTCCCATGCAGAATTGTGCCTGAAATGATGTAGGGTCTTTGAAGTCTTTGATTGTAATAATGTAAGTTTGACTTGAAAAAAAACTACATACAGTAATTATAATTTAAACGCAATTATTTTTCTTGCATTTTCTGTAAAATATGTAAAAAGTTAACAGATAATTCTATCTTTTTAAACTAGAAGTGAAAATCAACCAATTTTTAACCCCCAGATTTTTTCCTGACCCCAGGGAAAAATACGGGGTGCAAAATTTTAAATACTGAAATTCATCTGTAAAATATGTAAAAAATTTTCTAAAAGCACTTTTTGTCGGGCCCTTTTGGGGTTTTCCCACTCCCTCTTTTTTTTTCATATTTTTTTTTATTTTATTTCGGGATTTTTTTGAACAGTTTTTTTTTTTGGTTTTGTGTGCAATTTTTTTGGGGAAAGATATTAAATATTAAAGTACTACATTATGTGCTATGCTGACTACATCACTGTGATACAGTTATATTATAAGATATACTTGCATATATTTATTAAAGTTTACTTACAAAATGGCGGAGTTTCATTTTCATTCAAATGTTTGTTAAGAATTTATATCGCCTTCTTATGAAGTGTTTGCATACATGTACTTTTATTCTTGCAAAAATATCTTCAGAAACCCAAGCGTGTGTGGATTACTGGCCAAGGTTTATTAGTGCCAAGTTTCAGCTTTTAATTTTCAGTTCAACTAACTTGAAGAATAATAAATTAATAATGGGTCAGTTGTACTTGCCATTGCCTAGACATAATACTTGATGGTTTTGCCACTTATAAATGAAGATAATCATTCCTTTGAAACTAGACATTTTTGTATTATGGTTTTCAGACACTTTGCAAAACCTGCAACTTACTAAGGGTGCCTGTGGTCGGGTGGTTAAGGTCATTTACTTCAAACCACTTTCCTCTCACCACAGAAGGTTCGAGCAGCGTCTTCAGCAGCCCAGTCCTTTCTACGGTCATTCGCACTGTACCTCTGCTCTGGTATGTACAGAAGTTTCATATCCTTGTGAAAGTGAAGGCAACTAGTACTGGTAAACTGCTTGACAAGCTTGCCCAGGAACAATGTGCTGGCTGAACTGTTGCTCTGGAAAATGTAATGTGGGCTTACCACCTGTGATCTTGAGTGAAAACTACCAAACAAAACCAACACCCGCATTTTAAAGATTGCTATATCACTGTCAATAACCAGTATAGAAATGGTTTTTGATAAGTGGGGGTGGGCGGGTGTATAATGTCAACATATAAACAAAATATGTTTTAAGCGATGAGGCTTTTTTTTAAGTAAAGGTAATTTTTAATAATATAAATGACATATAATAATTACATAACTATGTACAAGATATCAATAATACATGCATATAATGTATCAGAAAAAAAAATAATATGTCCCTATCTTGGAGAAAAGCCCACAGAATTGCACTAAGGTTAACAGTAAAAAGATAACACTTACATATTCACATTATTTATATAATAATGATTTTTACATTCATATTTTTATCTCAAAAATTATGTAATGAGATCAGTTAAATAATCAATCTCGTAATGCACTACTCCATATTATCTCAAACATCTTCTAATTCATTAGCTAATTTCATTATCTCAAATTTTTTCCCTCATTATACATGACTTTATATCATTTTAAAAATGTTCCTCCTATTTTGCACCCAGTTACTATATTTAAGATTATCTCCTAAATAATTCAGTTACTGTGATCTCAATTATTATTTTCTTAAGCACAAGTTAATTCATTATCTCATATTCTGAATTCCTAGTGATGTTACCTTTTAATAATATCTCCTTATGCAAAAGATTAAATCATTATCTCAAATATTATCTCCTAAAATGACCAGTCAATATCATAATATTATCTTCTAATGCACCAGTAAATATTATATCTCCTGTCCTTATGCATCAATTAATATTTTCAAGGGCAAAATTTATATAACATGTACATAATTTTAGTTGAAATTGGTAAAAAATGTTATGCAAAAAATGAATAATTTAACAAAATAAGAATTTATCAAGTACTGAAAAATGTATTTTAATTTCAGGAATGTTAAATAGTAAGCTTAAAAAATTATATAAATGCAATAAAAAAAAAACAACCTGCCTACGGATTCAACTAAGCGAAAATGTTAACAAACTTAAATGGAATCAAAGACATCATCGACAGAAACATGTACATGAAAACAAATTGACTATTTCACTTACATAATAGTTCACTAACAAATATTTTAACAAAATATTATCTACAAAAAATGCACCAAAAAAGCTATGAAAAAAACAACACTTTTTGTTTCATTCAAACACATATATGTTTGATACGCATATTTCACTTGAAACAAATATTCATATAAAAACAAATATATATATCTGACTTTCATGAATACAAGTATTCAACTTCAAAGAGTGTATCATGTTTTTGATTTGATCGCTTTCAGAATTATTACTCTTATGAACATTGATATTTAAGAAACCATATAAAAAAAAACTTATTTCACTTTTTATCACATTCCCAAAATAAGGAGTGTTTAAAGTGAACACAGAATCATATTTCAATGATGCGCCTACGTATACAGTGTAACCCTAAAATTAAGAGTGTCATTACACTATATATATGTTGGTATAACGCAAGTGATGTCACGTCGCCATTCAATACCGTTTTTATGGAGTCGCAACATTGACATGGGTATGTGATAAAAATGAATATTTCATTTTATTGGTTCTATCACTAAAACTATAGTTCAAATTTGACAAATACATTTCATTTACCATAAGAAGAGCTTGCATAATATTTAATTTTATCAAACTTGTTCAATACTTTCCCAATTTTTTGGTACTTTTTTTAATAAAGAAAGAAAACAAAATTTATAATACATTTTAATTTTTTATCAGAAAAATAATAATTTACATAATAACCCAAATAATTTCAGGGTATGAACAAACTGATTGACTTCACAAATAGAACCCTTAACCCTGCCTGGGAACCCCAAAACTGATAAGTCTTTGGAACGTGGTAAAAAAGCCAGGGGCCAAGCTTATACATGCAGTACAGTCCCCGACCCAGGGCTCCTATACTGCTTGTAAGTCCCAATTTTTTGTATTTTTTTAATATTGAAGTCCCTAAAACCATGAATGGACTGTTCAAAAATTAATAAAAGCAGGACAAAACCCATTACACAAGTTCGGGAGGTTAAAGGTGAAGAATGAAGTATCCAATTACAAAAAGCACTAACAATATTGCAAACACTTTCTAACAAATTGCCCTTTACAGCTTTACAAATGAACACAGACTTTACAAAGTTATGACACAAGAACTTTAACAATTAATGGACCAATAAAACTTTAAATAATATTCATAAACAAGTGATTTTTTTACTTGAATAAACCCCGATTGTAAACGTGGGCAGTGCACAAGAACTGGTAAATTTTTTACCTAAATTTTTTTTGGGGGGTTTTTTTTTTTTTTCCAAAAATTTTTTTTTTTTTTCCCAAAAAAAAAAAATTTTAATTTTTTTTTTAATAAAAAAAAAAAAAAAAAACCAAAAAATTTTTTTTTTTAAAAATTTTTTGGGAATTTTTTTTTTTTAAAAATTTTTGTTCCCCCCCGGGGAAAAAAAGGGAAAAAAACCCAAAGAAAAGGGGACCCCCCCCCTTTTATTTTTTTTTAAAATTTTTTTTTTTTAAATTTTTTTTTTTTTTAAAAAAATTTTAATAAAAAAAAAAAAAAAAAGGGGGAAGGAAAAAAACCTTTTAAAAAAAAAATTTTAAAAATTTTTTCCCCCGGTTTTTTTTAAAAATTTTTTTTTTTAAAATTTTTTTTTTTTGGCCAAAAATTTTTTAAAAAAAAAAATTTTTTTTTTTTAAAAAAAAAATTTTTAAAAAAAGGGGTTTTTAAAAAGGGGGAAAATTTTTTTTTTTTTTCCCCCCCCCAAAAAAAAACCTTTTTTTGCCCCTTTTTTTTTTTTTTTTTTAAAAAAAAAATTTTTTTTTTTTAAAAAAAAAAGTTGGTTTTTTTTTTTTTTTTTTTTTTTTAAAAATTTTTCCGGCCTTTTTTAAAATTTTTAAAACCCCTTTGGTTAATTTTTTTTTTTTTTTAAAAAAAAATTTAAAATTTTTGGGGGCTTTTTTTTTTTTAAATTTTTTTTTTTTTTTTTTTTTTTTGGGGGGCCCCTTTTTTTTTTTTTTTTTTTGGTCCCCCAAAAAAAATTTTTTAAAAAAAAAAAAAATTTTTTCTTTTTTAAAAATTTTGGGGGCCCTTTAATAAACCTTTGGGGGGTTTTTTTAAAAAAAAAAATTTAAAATTTTTCCCCCCCCTTTTTTTGGGGTTTTTAAAAATTTTTTTTTTTTTAAAAAACCCTTTTGGGCCCAAAAATTTTAAAAAAAAATTTTTTTTGGAAAAAAAAAAAAAAAAAAAATTAAAAAAAAAAACAAAAAATTTAAAATTTTAAAAAGGGTTTTTTTAAAAAACCCCCTTTTTGGGGTTCAGAGGGCGTCACTCAGGTAAAGCCATGGGGTTTTTTAAGCGAAAAATTTCATTTTCATTGATTCAAACAATTGAGTCATTTTTTCACTGCGCAGATTTTAGAACTCATTGTGAGATTTGTGGGTCGTTACTTTCAGAGAAATTGGTCTCAAGTTTACAATGAGTTAGTTATTTCATAGCGAAGCTGGTGAAGTGGGACTTACACAGTGTAGACAGTGTAGATATGACAAAA